TGAGCTACGCTTGGAAAATCTTTACACAACAGCATATCTATATTTACACGTACATATATACATATAGGCGTGTACACACATAACTATATATATATATATATATATATATATATATATATATATATATATACACACACATACATCCATACACATCCACTTCTAGATATATATACATTTACACGCATATACATACGGACATACATATATATGCACATAAACAGATAAACATAAAACCTTACACATCTCCATATTCAAGCGAAATTTTTTTGGGATTCCAAAAAAAAATTCGCTCTTGTTTTGAAACATGAAACCTCTTATGTCGCGAGTTGGAATCATATTTTTAAATAAATAATTATATTTATGCTCTACTTTTGTATCGAGCACTATTTTTTTAAAAATAATAACTAAAATACTAAGGAACTTCGGATTATTTAACTAACCAGTTCCTTCCTATTTTCTATATATTTTCACACACACACACACACACACACACACACACACACACATATATATATATATATATATATATATATATATATATATATATATATATTGATTTGGGACAAAACTTGCTTGCTTTTGTAAGTTAAATTCAACGACAATATTTAGATATTCGTAGCGATTTATTTAGCCACATAGTTGCTATTCTCTTCCACCATATATTCCACTTTAGAATCAACAATTGATCCATTTGGGGACTTGTCATCAATAGAAATGTATTCCAGACAATTCTCCCCTTTAAATATTTTAACAGGCACCTAAATAACGTAGAATTTTCAAATGTAAATAAATTTAAAACGCTCATATGAAGTAAGTGAAGTATCTCTTCGATGTCCCGTGCTGTTTGATCTGGGTTATTTTTTCATCAATGTTCCGAGATGGTCATTACATCATGCGATTGCAGGCCAGCCGGAATGTCTTAATTTTCTAGATTAATTTTCTATTTCGGAACCTCGTGTAACACTTAGGAACTGTGTACTTTAAACTAAGGTCTTATTTACATAAATGGCACATACTCTTCTTCGATGTTTGGATATCGGTGTTACTCCCTTACCACGTGTAGAATTGCATTATATGTGTAATAAAATCTTATTGTTCTTCATTTTCATGGCAGCTTCTCTTTTTATTTAAGCCCCAAAACATAAACAAAATTGTTTGTCAGCTCGTTGCTCTGATCGTGGGTCCCGAGTCAACTTTCTCTTTAAATTTAAGAATACGTAAAAAAGATATTTGAAATGGCTATAACGAAAATGATTCGATAACTTATAATGTAAACTTATGACGTCATCACAAAAAAAAAACAAATTCCTACTAGGAGGAATCTCTACATCAGTGCGATAAATTCAGAGATTTTATTTAAAAGAATATTTTATATATTGCCAATATTCAGAACCAGATGAAAACTAGTTGGCCTGTACATGAGCATGAATGTCTTGGAACCGTTGAACGAAAAGGAAACTTTATACCAGAAATGAAAGTTTATGAGCGGGACCATCAAGAAAAAAAATAAATAAAACAGACAAATTTATTTAATCAAAATACCGTCAAACAACAATTCGTCTGTTACTTCCAGATATGAGTTTTTTTTTTCTTTTGCGTTTCATATCCTCATTAGTCCAAGCTTGTTTTTCGAAATAACAGAAAGGAAAAAAAAAAAGATTTGATTTTGATTTTACAGCCTTGTATTTGGTAGCGTTGGAAGAAACTCAATTAGCAAAATAACGCTTATTACTGTGAGGATTTTTATAAAACATTATTGCCTTATAGTCGATTTTATGTTATTTTTAATCTTTTATATTTCAGTTTCCAAGATTTGCTTTTATACACACGCTTGCTTTCCACGCGTAGAAACTTCAATTAGAGGTTTTATCATGTTGACAGTCTACCTTTGATCTGGGCATGACTTAACAAACAAATCGCCAAGTTGGTTATGTTTTTATAAAAAAAAGAAGCTCACTCGTCTATGCGTCTAATCAGATCAAAGTTTCCCGCATCGAATCATGTGTAGGTGTTGCTCTCCACGTGTACGAATCAAAAGAACCTCGTTACTACCCAATTTCTCTTACTAAATCTCTCCATTATTCAAAAACTATTTGACAGCGTCTACCTTAGAGCGATGGGTAACCAACAAGACTAGTAGATCATTCACTATTGTAGTGTGTTTAGTTTTCACCTGTGGAGCGACTGTTGTGTGCCAGTACCAAATAAAAGTAAGCGTAGTAACTATTTATTTACAAGTAAATATATTTTCAACGTAGATTAGCGAAACAGTCTCAATATCTGTAGAAGATGTTAGGTTGATGTAACTTTTAATCAAGGATGTTTTTAAGTCTACTACGATAATCCGAGCACTGGCAACTTTTTCGTATTAATTACTGATGCTTTATATCAGAACAAGCAAAATATACTAAATATCCATAAAGGGTGCTATATGTATTCAACTACTTAGATATATATGCGATTGGAGTAAGTTTAATAAATGTGAGGAGAATGAATTTCATTCAAGGAAATGTGTAACAAATATTATTTAGATGATTTCTATTTGAGTGATTGATTCGTTTTTACGGATTATCAACCCTTTGCAGGTTATAAAAAGCTAGAACATATTTAGACTCTAAAAACTTTTTGTGATCATAATACATTAGTGATACAAATCTTAATAATTAACCCATAGCTGGAGGCAGAAGAGGTGGATTCCTACGTTTCCCAACGGTACTTGCGCGTAAGTAAATATAATGGATCCAACGAGAATTTGAATTCGGCACTCCAATTAACAACTCCGTGCCATTATCCATTAAACCACAGGCAAATACTAGCTTGATGCTTTAAATCCTTCTGTTATTAAGAATCGGATGAAAACATGGATAAAATAACAGGACTCTCCAAAAGAAAAAGATGTTCGGACATAGACTTAAAAATTCATTTTTAATTATGTCCTATCCATTAGCATAGATCCCCCCCACATAGTGGTAACAATAAGTTTCTTCCATTGATTTACAAGCTTGAAGCTGAGTTTTAGAATAAAAGAATGTCCTTTTTGTATGATATGAGAACAATTTTATACTAACATTCACCGAAAACATTGACAACCACTTAAGGCAGATGGCTACTATTAAGAAGGTAATAAGGAAGAAGGCGTGCAATATGAAAATAAGGAGGGGATTGTAAGAAATAAAGAGAACTAAGAAGATAAATAACTGATTTGGAGAAGTCAAGATTGAAGATTTCAGGCATGTTTCTCATTTGAATTTTGAATTGGCTAGAAGTAACCGTAAGTTCTATGTTGACACTTTCTTCTCTCGCACTTCTCATTTGGGGAAATCTCTTCCGGCTTTTTGCTTTCAAACCAGCTTTGATCTCCAAAAATTTATATCCAATGTTAATCGTCATCTTCTGTCTTCTTAATCCCCGTTCTTAAATTGTTCTCTCCCTTAATAAAGTTTTCTTTTTATATTCTCTCCCACCATAAAACACAATGTGCCTTTGTGGCTTTAATACTTTGCATTGGTTGAAATGATTGAAAAAGCAAAATTGTAGGTGTTGGGAGAAATGTTCTCTGATGATGATTTTTCTTTTTTAAATTTAGGACATAGAGGAAATGAGATTGATTCGTCTTCGTAGACGTGATATGGCACGTTCCAACTGTAAAGGTATGAACTGGTCAAAAATAAAGAATAGCGATCATCTGAACATTTGCCATGGAAATACCGATGGAGAAGTTATAAGCTCGTAATGCTGAATGTATGGTGAAGAAACTCCGGTGAAGAGAATGTTTTCCTCCACATGTCTAAATAAACAAATTTCAACCCTGTTCAGATACGGCGGTAATACTTAATATGTTGTCTCATATGACACGTTTAAAGATATAATATAGCATTCAGATAATTTTTTCTATAGCGATAGAATGAAACGGCTATCTTTTAAATTCCTTTAAGTAATAAATCGTTTATATGAGTAAATCTTGAGTTCTGGAGTGAAAGTGAGAAGCGATAAATGTTCAAATCGCCGAACATCTTTGTGTGCGCAACCATTTGACAGGACTGGAAGGAACATAAGATCTGAACCATGATTATGACATAATATTGGATTTTGAAATATTGAAAATTAAAATCCTCTCATTTCTAAATTGAATACTTACAGCTAAGGACATAGGAAAGATCAGAAGCAAAGCTTCAATCATCTTGAGTTTTGGAATTGACTTACATAGTTTATTTCAAGACGGTGTGTAAATTTTGAAATAGTTTGTAATAGTTTGTAATTTGTTTAAATGGAACAATATATGGAGATTAAGAAGGCTGCATGATGTCATAAAGGATAACATTGCATCATGAGACATAATCATATTTTTCATTTGATCTAAAGCAAAGTGGCAATGCAAATAAGGTGCAAGGGGTTAAGGTGAGTTAAAGAGGAGAAGATATTAAAACAAGAACCAGAAAGACAGAAGATGGGGATAGACGTTGCATGTAAAGTTTTGAATAATGTAGTTGGAAAGGAAGGAAGCAACTAGAAAACGAAACAACAGTCGATAAATGCGACAAAATAAACAGTTAGCATAGAACTTACGATTACATCTAATTAAGAGCAATCCGGAGACTCAAGAGAAAATTCCCTGAACACTCAGAGATTTTAAAGAACATAGACCCCGAGGCCATGCACGTGGAAAATAACTAAACCCGGCTCTTGCGATTAACTAATCTGTTTTTTCATGCAATTTATATTGTAATCAGAACTGTTGTTGCTAGCATATCAAACACCAAGACATTTCATGGGTAGAAGTCTACTTATGGGGATTTTGTTTATCTACTTAAACAATGTCATTGTATATATCCATTTCTTTGTCACTGTCTACATCGCTATGTCCTTGTATATACCACTTTCTATATCACTGTCTTCATCACTTTCTATGTCCCTGTCTACATGACTTTCTGTCCCTGTCTACATTTCTTGCTACAACACTGTCGACATATCTTTCTATGTCCCTGTCGAAATCACATACTATGTCCCTGTTTATATCCCTATCTCTAATTCTTTCTATGTCACTATCAACATACCTAAGTCCCAGTCTACATTTCTTTCAATGTCACAGTGTGCACCTCTTTCTGTGTCAAAATCTACATCTCTTTATGTCCCTGTTGCGATGTCTTTGTCTACATGTCAATCTATGTCACTGTCTACATCTCTTTCCATGTTCTGTCTACATCTCTTTCTATGTCCCTAGCTACACCTCCTTCCATCTCCTGTCTACATATTCCTATATCACGGCCTACATAACTTTCCATGTCAATGACTACATGTCTTTCTCTCTCACTCTCTACATCTCTTTCTATACCCATCTCTACATCCCTTTTTATATACCTGTCTACATATTTCTGTTATTCTTTGCCTATATTTCTGTCTCCCTGTCTATATCTCTTTCAATATCACTATCTACATCTCTTTCTATGTCACTGTCTACATATCTTTCTATGTCCCTGCCTACCCCTCTTTCTATGTCCCTGTGTTCATGTCGTTTTATGTCCCTGTCTACATCTCTTTCCGTGTCCCTGTCTACATCTCTTTCCGTGTCCCTGTCTACATGTCTTTATATGACATTCTCTACATCCCTTTCTATGTCCCTGTCTACATCTTTGCCTATGTCCCTCTCTACACCATCTATGTCCCTGTTTATATCTATTACTATGTCTTTGTCCACATATTTCTTCCTCTCTAGACTATATTCATTTCTTCCTTGTCCTCTAATGTTGTAATATGAACATTATCACCGGGAAAACAGAAAGATGCACTAAAATGACTGCTGAGAAATGCAAATATCAAAACTACGTTTTGGTTGGCTTCATTGCAATCCGCAGTAATCAATTTTCCAAATTTAAGTAACGTTCCAAGTTGATGCAGATGACAGCAAATCGTTGAATGGATTAAATCTAGTTTTTCGGATAATTCTTCAACCATACAATCTCTTATTCGCTAGAGTTTAGCCAATAGTTAAGAGGGCGTCCTTTAAGTGGGCATTTCTTAAGCTGGATTTACTCGTTTTGAAACCTTCGAACCATTTTCTGCAATTAATTTTGATTAACTAATCTCATAAACACTATGAATACTACAGCTAGTTACAGTATAAAAAAATAATTGTCTCGTTTTAAGTTTTATGCGCAACGTGGACATGTCGATCATTATAAGTGTCAGGAAAATAACAGAGTGACGACCATATTTACTATTGTAATCTGTACGAAACATTTCGTATAATGAATATAGGCATTTTAGAATACCGTATAAATCTTGTAAACTGACAGTTTTCTTTTGGACATAGAGACGGTATATATTTGTTAATGTCAGGTACTTGATAAGTTCTAATGTTCGAGTCTCATTTTGGGATAGTATTTCTTATATTTTGCTTATCTTTACTGTTTTCTATCATTGATAATTTTAGAATCACTTTAAAAAACAACTTATTTTTATTGTTTTACATCTTCGTAATTATCATATCGACGAATAAACGGCAAGGTGTTTAAATATTAAGTTAAACATAATGAAAATAATACAAATATGCGCAACCAATATTGGCCAGGCTTTTGTATTGAACATAAATAAAATCGCTATACATTATGTAAATCGCCTTAAACGATGCTGGCATTCTTAAAATAGATCTGTTGATTTTAAGTAATTCATAAAATTGTTCTATATTATCTATATACAAAATTGCAAAAATGTAACAATAAACTAATTTTTGACCTAAAACGATATTCTATTCAGTACTTATTTGCAGAATTATTGCATACATTTTTTTTTATTCAAAACATCTTTCAATATCATTTACATAATTAAATCCTACACATTGTCTTTCAAAAGGGTAAATGTACATATTCGAGGCTTCAAATCGCTTGGCCACAGATCCTTTAGCTATTTTCAGAAATAAGTAAATATTTATATACCTGCAATTAGGGAGTTTCATTTTTAAGATCTGCCACGTGATAAATATCCCACTTTTATAGTTTAACTTGTTATAAATAGTTTCAACCTAAATTGGTTTTTCATGATCTCTATTGAATTTGCAGACACACGTCACTTCTACCATGATAATTTACGACTCACGTTACAAGTATAAACATATTTACAACCACCAATGTCCAAACGGCAAACATAAATGGAAACAAATATTTACCAGCTTGAAAATAATAAGTTTGTTTTTGCTCAGTAATTGTCGACGCATATTGTCGGTGTGAAATGAAGCATGCTCTTTCCGCGCTCAACTGCAATATTCGCTTTTCCGACATCAATTCATTTTAGTTACTCAATATTGTTCAAAAAGAAAAGAAATAATGGAAATTTTCAAGGGAAAGTTCGAAGATGTTTTCAGCTTATTGATAAAAAATCAAATTGCATTTCGACGATGAAAGAAACACGTCTGTAGAACATTTAATATGACCCATTAATCTACTAACACCAGGGATTTATTTCGTCTTCCTAAACTGCGCTTTTTGGGGAGAATACAACAACCACACTTTAAAAAATTTTGAATATCAAAAGACCTGCAAATGTTTACTAATTAATACGTTGTGAGGGGAATTTTATTGAATACACAATAACTTCGACAAATTCTTTGATTATATTCTTTAACTATTACACCCTTAGTAAGGCAATAAAGCCATTAAGACACAAGGGGTTTCTAAGTGTGAAAGAATATGAGAAAAATAAAAAATATAATTAAGGAGAGAGAACGATAAAAGAATAGAAATTTAGAAGACAAAAAATAATAACCGACGTTGTATTTAAATTTTTGAAGATCAATATTAAGTGGAAAACCAGAAGGTGGAAATGTAAAGTATGAAAATAGAAGATTTTAGCATAGAACCTACGATGGCATCTGGTCCTTTCAACTGTGGAATGATGAGAACTAACTGTCAACTTTGTACTACATTTCCAGTGTCGGTACCAAAGAGGAAAGCTCATTAGAACAATTTCTATGAAAATATTTATAGAAAAGGACCAGTGAAGGAAGGTTACAACTGAGTAGTAAAAAGTTTATGTTCCCTGAAAATAACTGTCCTGATGACCTAAAGCAGTTTACTATTACAGGAAAGTACATACTTAACCACTCTGTATTGGTATTTCATTACTGAGCACATATTGTACTAAGGGACGAACAAATCCATGCCTTCCCCAAAAGTCTAATGTCAATGACCTAATGAAACAAAAAAATACAATTTTTATTTTTAAGTATAACTCCTTCATAGTCAATAAAGAATTTTAATTCTATACCTCGAACAATATACAGTAAAACCTTCGAATGAGTTTTTTCAACTTATAATTTCCTGTACATCTGACACAATTTACATTACGAATTATTTAGAGAAAAATTGATTTTGTAAGCTTATTATACAAAACTTAATAAGGGTGAAAATAATAATTAAATAAGAGTTATTTTCTCGATAATTCCCTGCCTTTTCTATGACGGATAATAATAATCCTATCACGTAGATATTATACAGTGAACATTTCAGATCAAGTTTTCAGTGCATAACTATTCTAAGTTAATATCTGACAAAGTTTGGCTACTAATTATTTGATTTTGCAAACTTGTAGATCCTCAGCAAGCAAAGAATCAGTTGTAACAAAAGTTTGAAATCTAAATCATGTCAAGGATTGTCAATTTTATTTGCAAGACAAAACGTGCGTCGTGTGTTTTGACATCCTGTTATCCAAATTTGGTTTTCACTCGGGAAAATCTAAGCATTCTGGGAATTGCGAAACGATACGAGAACTCTATAGAATTGATGACTGTCTACACTTGAATCGATTTGTCAGTTTAATTCTTTGATCATTTGTTGCAGGTATTCCTTTGTGTGTTGCTCCCCTTTCGCTAGATAACGTCCTACACGAATCCTCCAAGAGAAAGGTTGTCGAAATGTTATAAACCGAATGAAAAGATCAAGAGAAAAGACTATTCCTCATTCAGAAATATGTTCTTACCAGTGTCCGATAATGGAATTAGAAAAATCTTTTCAAATTCTTGCTGTAGAGATGGATGTCGCTTAGAGTTAAATTTCCCTGTCGGCATATATCTTAAATTTGATCTTCATGGCGATGACATTCTAGTAGAATAAAAAGGCGAATTTGCGAGAAATTATCTTACAGCAATCAAATACAATTATATGTTGTAAAGACGCATAATCAAAGTTTTAAATGAGTGCCAGTGTCCTATCAACGTCATTATCACTGCAAAGATGTCAATTTTAAGACGCACTCTAAAAGAGAAACATTATATTTTACCAGCACCATCAATAAAGTGTATGACGAAATTAGCTATAAAAGAACTAAATCATTTTCATTATTTTCTGTTATTTCTTTCTTCACGTATTTTTCTACGAGATTGATTTAGAAGTTACACAAAGAACATATAATATTCAGATAAAATATTGTAGTGGAAATATTCATTTTTAAAGTTGTTGTAGCAATGAAAATTTAATTTTTATTCGACAACGCTGAAATTAGCATTTTTAACCAGTAAGTAGTTTTTGCACCAAAATATTAAAATTCATTATACGACCAATCAAAATTAGTTGGTGTAAATCTAGTTATTAACAATAGATAATAGACAGAAACATCTTTTCTGTTAAAAGTTTGCTCAACTGTAAACGATTACGTTTTCCGACTTCTGATGTTTAAGAATGTAAACTATTATGGCAGCATCTCCATTTTTATTCATTATATGTAAAAACAATGCTGAGAGTAAAGAAAAACAATGATGTTCTTATGAAAACACACATTAAATGCATTAAGAAGAAATCGATCATATGACAATTTCCCTCGTGTATTTTTTAAAAAGATCATCATTTTTTGATATAGCATTGCATCTTTCGCTTGTCGCAGTTTGCAATTTGTCTTCTTTGCATTTGCTTACCTTTACCACCACTGAATACCCAATAAGCTAAACAATTTGAACCCACCTGCATGAAAAACGAAATTGTCCCGTATATTAACATAGCAATTGATGAATGAAAAGACGCACTCTACACCACAAGTGACACATATTAATTCTCTTTGCACCAGTCATAGATTAGTGAAAAATCGACAGAAATTTTAACTGGAAATTAATTAGAAATATATTTTCAAAGTGTAGGTCGTATTTATATTTGGCACTTTTGATAGAAGTGAAATCGATTTTGAACAAGAAATACAATCGAATATCACTGATGAAAATATGAAGATAGATTTTGTTTCGTTAGGGGCAACTGCACGCAAAAAAAAAAAAAAAAAAAAAAAAAAAACAAAAGTAAATGTATGTTATAAAAGTGAAATATGATGGATGTATTTAAAGGTCACATTGTTTCATTATACGTTTTATTCTGTATTTAATGCTTGCATTCTTATATATATATATATATATATATATATATATATATATATATATATATATATATAATTAATGATCAAACACATCCTTTCTCCTCATATTGGGAATAGGCTATTTCGGCAGGCGACGAAAGTGGCCGTCTGTCTTTTCAACCCCGATGTGGAAGGAGATTTACGTCTGTAAGTTTTGAGAAAACCGGAAGTAGCAGTTAACTGTGAAGAATTGATATTGGAAGCTAAATTTTCAACCTAAACCTTAACTTGCAGAAAACACCTCATAAAGACTTTACACTTTTCACTCTTTCAGTCAGACGCTACGGAATTAGAATTAGTTTTTTAATTATTTATTCATTTCTCATGTTAACATTTGAAAAGATAGATAGGAAATGAGTCGAGG